GGCTTTGGCTCTTCGGTCGAAGGTGGAAGGAGTCGACGGCTTTGGCTCTTCGGTCGAAGGTGGAAGGAGTAGCGCGGCGCGGCACTGTGCTTCGCGAGAGAACAAGAGAAGAAGACGGGCGGGGAAGCGAGAAGAGGATCTACGGCAGAGATCGGCTTCGTGAGGCGGGGCAGAAGGGCAGAGATCGGCTTCGCGAGGCGGGGCGGAAGAGGAAACATCGCCCTTAACACGATCCTTAACGCTGGCCGCGGGGTCGATCCCGCTGCCGGCTTTTTGCCAAATTCGCAGCCCGCAACAAGCAGGATGCCGAAACAAACATAAAAAAATTACTCTCGAAATCATAGCACGGTGCAGCGCCGCAGGGATACCGCCGAACCAAAAAAAGCCCCTTAATGCCTTTTCATTTTTGAATAATTGAGGTTGAATTTAACGTCAATATTTTAATCAGTTTCAGTATTTCGTATAAAATAAATGATGGGATGTGTGAGTTGACATGGAATACGGTTCTAATAATTCTATCCGTTAATGATTGAGAAATTTCAGCAGTAATGGACTTCAATCCTGATTATATGGGTATGAGTTGAGTCAGGCCACTTTTGGCTCATGAACTGAATTCGATGATCTAAAAGTCGTTTAAGAAAGCCCGATTCGGCGTTTAGCTCGTGTTAAAAATTATTAATATAACATATTCTCAAAATATATTAAATTTGAAGAAGTTATTTTTAAAATATTAAAAATAATTTTGTAAAAAATATTTTATATTTAATATTAAGAGATTCCTTATTGTTGCTTCAAAATTTCTCATTCTATTTTTCATTTTATTATAACATGACATTAAATAAATATTATTTCTCTCTTTTATAATAAACAAGTTACTCATGAGTCGACTTGAGCTCGTAAACTTAAGCTTGAGCTTGAACTCAACAAACTTATTGAAGCTGGACTAGACAAGTTTACATCCCTAATGTTGATCATCAAATTGGATCAGAGGATAATTACAGCCCTTGTCATATTCTAACGGAAAAATCTAGTTAGGGTTTTCAATAGAAAATGACTGGAGCCAACTTTCAGAAACGAGGACTTACTATTGCATAATTCAAGTTCGAATAAGATAAAACTTTTTTAAGGCTTTATTTACCCAGCAAGTCCAATGAATATCCCACCATTACAAAATTTAAAAAAAAAAAAGGTTAAAAAAACAAATAATATGGAATCAAATTTCATATTATATTCTAACTTTTCTCCTATTTGAATCATTTATACCAAAATAAATAAATAAATAAATAAATAAAACATAGTTAAGGGGAGTTTGGAATCACTTTTGAATTTATTTTTTTAATTTTTTTAACTGTTATTTTGTTTTATTTATATTTTAATTTGAAATAAAAATGTATTTAATTTTAGTTGTTTTAAAAAAAACATTCAAAAATATATTTAAAATATTTTTAAAATAAAAGATAAAGACAAGCAAAATACACTAAACAAATGTATTTTTAAAATAAAATTAATAATAATAATAAATATAAATAAAAAATAAAAAAGAGAATCCCAAACAAATCCTTCGTTTAATAAAGAATTCAACCGTAAATTGCAATCGAATAACGATGATAACAATAGTTTCGTGTCATATAATACAATATATAAGCAGTACTAGTTTATTGTTATGACATTTTTTATATTGAAACCAGAAAGAAGTTGCTTTTAATATGATTCAAATGACTTCTGTGAGAAACCCCGCCATTGTTAGGTGTTCCATTGAGCCCAATTGAGCCGTCAGCTCGGACAGCCCCAATCAATAAATTGATAAAAATATTTAAAATATGGTAAAATTCCAGACTAATATAAAATATTTGAAATAAAAAATTATATTTAAAATTTTATAATGCACGTTTTTTGTGCATTATGTCTCCCAATTATTTATTTTATTTATAAATTCATTATAATTTTAATTTAAATTTAAGTTATTCTCTTTTATAATAAATAAATCGGCTCGACTTAAACTTATAATTAAACTTGAGCCCAAAATTGATTAATAAATTAAGCTCGAGCTCAGTTCAACTGACCTACACCTCTAATACATTTAAATTTGGATGTTCTTGAAGCTGGCCAAAAATTCAATGCATTCGCATGACGATGCTTACCTACGTGGATCTAAAAACAGGTCATAAAACTACATTTGTACGAGTTACAGCTACTTATTATTAAACTGTAAATTTAACAGCAAGATAATAGGGTACTGCTTGTAGAATACGTTTCTTTTAGCTTAATTACAAATCAGCTCATTTATTAGATAAAGATGTGTGCGTGCGGCTGTGTTATAATATATATACATTATTTATTTATTGAAGTTTAGGTGTCAAGTCTCTTATTTACTAATCTAAAAGACTTAAACAACTAAGGGCCCGTTTGGGGCAGCTTCTAATTACGGCAGTATTTTTCAAAACACTTTAACTGTTTGGTTTGCACGTTTTTGAAAACGATATTTGCCGCATTTAGGTTTTTTACACTAAACGTAGGTCACGGGTTGACCCTCGCAGTGGACCCGCCGGGCCGCGTTTCAAGAAACGCAGAAGCTGCCCCAAACAAACCCTAAACTTCCAAAAAAAAAAAAAAAAAAAAAAAAAGCAGATCATATATATTGACATGAAAAGCTGCATTTTAATTTTTAGTGATATCAAGATTTTAGATTTTATAAATCTAAAGAACAAAATTTAGGTACTCAATATGCAAATACATAGGAATTGGTTGGTATCTATGCATAGACCCTATGCATATTTTACATTTAAACAGTTTAATTTTTATACATTTTATTTAAAGAAACGCATTACCACCAAAGTCGACTCATTAGCACATCAAACTCACAAGATATTT